CTGAGGGCCAGCTCTCGCAGCTTGCTGAGAGCGTGGAAGGTCCCTGGGGACAGGAAAGTCAGATTGTTTCCATCTAGCCAGAGGCTGTGAAGGAAAGTCAGGTTTCTGAAGGTGCTGGTGGTGAGAATACGCAAATAATTATTGGAGAGGTTTAAAGAGGTGGTGGATGCTGCTATTTCTGCAGGGAGGGCTCTCAGTCCAGATCTGTTACAGTGTATAATCTCTTCAGGTGCACATTTGCACATGCTCGGGCATGAATTAGAGATATTCAGACTCAGCCCAGCCTTTGCTGCACAAGTAAATATAAATATAAATATAACAGGAAAGAACATGACCAGCCACAAGTCAGCCACCACATATAATCCCTGATGGATAGTAGAGAAGGAGGCAAGAAAAAGAGCAAGTACCTTTGGACAGGTGAACCACGAGCATTTGCAGGGTCAGTTGGGCTGTGCTCTTAGTGCCCAGGGAAAAGAAGTTAGCTGGTTCCTCCTGCTGCAGACCAGTGCGGGTGGAGTCTTCAGGCAGATCAAAGCCGATTAAGTGCTGTGCTGCTGTGAAGAGCATTACTGAGAGGTAGGGAGATTTCTTAGCTAAGCATCACTCTCTGACAGTGATTTTTCCAACCTTCTGCAAGTCAACAGACTTCGCTCAGGAGCTATCTGTGACAGGCTTCAGCTTCTGGGTTAGTCACCGTTCTCAGGATCTGCTTGGCAGTTTGCTCAAAAAGACTGTTTTGGGGGAGGTCTTTTGTACTTTTTACCAGTTAGGGGTAAAGCAAAGGCAGCTGAGAGCAGCTCTGCCATTGGGGGGTGAGATGGAGGCTCTCAGCCTGGTGTGGCTGCACATGCTGGCAGAAGCCCTGGGCCCCGGCTCTGATGTAGATGCCGAGGAAAGCAGAGTTATGACTGAGCTCAGAGTACAGCCCTGTGGATGGCTGTCCCTCCCTTCCACTAAAGTGGGAGACTGTCAGGAGCTGTGCAAGCCTCATGCTTCCTGCCAGCTGGGAATGTGCAGGGGAGTGTTGTGTCCTGTGGAATCCTCCTCTTGGGGTAAGCCGTGAACCACCTATGAGTGGTAAAAGATGATCCCTTTGCTGTCTTTCCCAGGGCACTGCCTGTCTCCAGCAGGTCTGAAAATGCCACTGAGCAGCTAGAGGTGGGCTTGGGTCCCTGAAAGCCCATGTCCTTTGGCCCCTTCCTGGTTTTTAGCCTATATCCAGAGTGCAAAGGAAAAGTTCCATCAGGGGACTAACTGATGCACTCCCAGCCAGGGATCAGCAAACTGCAGGCTGATTAGTTTGCTTATGATGCCAAGAGGACTAGACTTGGCCTTGCAGCTGATGTATCAGCAGGGCAACCAGGGACACAGTTGTTGAACTTGTTGTTTCTCACTTTTAATCTTTGTCTCTATTGGAGTTCTCATGGTTTTGCTGTGTTTGAAGGACTTTCTCTCAGCCTCATCCCTCCAGGTGCATCTCTCTGCTGTTAGCTTCTTGGTCTGTCTCAACTCTTTTATCATGTTTTACATATTTGGACATCCTTTCTGTCCCCTGCTTTGGCAGAGAATGGCTAAAACCCCAAATATATGATACACCCAATACTAAGTGTGAATTGGTCAAATCTGCAAATCCATTGTTTTCTTGGCAGAAGCAGATCAGGTTTCCTGTGCTGTTAAATCACTGTGTTGGCTTCAGATAGTTCTATTTTCTTAATTTTTTCAAGCAAGAGCCACCCCAAAGGACAGCTTTTCCTTGGAAGCTTGGCTAGGACATCCACATTGTGTAATGGAGACCATCTTCTAGCTGTAAACAACCTAATTCATTTACTGAGGCTTTGCAGCAATGTAGCTAGGGGCCAAAAGCTGGTTTTCACCCTAAGCACAGCAGTAACGGCACCTTGCCAAGGGACTTGTCCTAGGAGACCTGGAGGAAGGTGGAAATGTGCACTACTCATCCCATACAGCTACTCATGTTTGGGGCCATGCCAAAGGTTTTGGTGGTGAATCTTTGTTTTCTCTATTCCTGGCTCAGCTGGGATTGCTCCTTTGAGAATATTGTTTGGAGGGATGTCACACTGCTGGGATCTCTACAGTTTCTCTTGCCGTCTGCAGCACAACTATGAATATCCATTGCTCCACAACTTTGCCTGTGCATTCTTGTGAAGGAGACAGGTTTCTGCTTGTCTCTGTGCAGGATGAGTGAGCTGCTCTGTGTCTGCTAGGAATGGTCCCATCTCTAGCTGAAGTTTTGTGGCTCAGGCTGAAGAAGATGGATTACTTGCACTGCTGTTCTTTTTATTCTTCCACAGGCTTTATTTCTGGTTATTATTCCAGCAGTGTTGCCATATTCTAGCCTTTATTTAAGTCCAGTTCTCTCTCTAATTCTCCTTGATCTCATATTAGAAATTTTTGGAGACCAAAAGCACACAGCTCTTAGCGTTCATTGTTGCCAGATGTTGCTTAACTGGACTAAAGCATAGTGGTGAAACAGGACCACACAGCTATGGAATGTCTCCTCTCTTCAGAGCCTGTAAGCCCAAGGAAGCCCATAAGTATCAAAATGACCAGATTTTTACACCTTGTCATGGGTTTGAAAATTCCAGCTGCTCCCTGTAAGAACTCCACCATGCATGTGGGGTGGCAGCTGCCTTGCCAGGATTTTGGCTGTGGCTGCTGCCTGGGCCACACTTGCAGTGGCATACGAGGTGGAAGCAATGCAGAAACGTGCCATTGCTCAATGTGGTGGTGAGCTGAACCTTTGCTCAAGCCTGAGTGTCGATCCAAGATAATGGTCGCAGGTATATCTCGTGTGTGCTGCAGTGGTTGGTGCTCCTTTGCAAGAAGCTCTCAGCATTGCCTGTCCAGCTTCGGCTTCCTGAGCATCATTGCTGCAGTCAGCAGTAGCCAGTGTCACTACTAAATTGGATGCTGCAGAAACAAGGCAAAGACATGGTCCTTGAGAAGAAAAATCACAAAGTTTTTCTCCCTAGCTACTTTAACAAATACTTTCCTGCTATGATTGATTCAGTTAAGAGCATTCAGCTCTTGGGCTGTCTTTTCCAGGCTCAGCTCTTTGCTCCACATACAGGGATTTTGGCTGTCTCCATCTCCTAAGAGGTTTTTCTGGAGTGCGTCATGTGTTCTGTCTGAGGTGGCTCATCCTTCTGGCTTTGATGGAAAGGCCAAGCCACTGCAAGTGTTCAGTTAAAACGTATTCTGCCCATTGCATGACCCTGATTGTGTTTTCTTTTCTTCAGTCACTGATTTATCTGACATTTGGGATTTAGAGCCCAGCACGTGCACTTCAGAAATTGTTTATAGCTGATGTCAAGAGCCTTGTCTAATACTGTGGATTTTAAGAAGCTATATTCTCTACAGAATCGAGGTTTGATGCAAGCAGTCCAAACATCTACTTTGGGATGGTCTTGCTGGTCTGATGAGTTAACGGAGCAGGGTTTGCTTTGTTTAAACTTTCTGGTGGGCAAAGGTGGAGTGAGCAGAATCACTTAACAATTTTATTCATTAAAAGAAGGATTAATTAAGTTGTAATTCCCAGGTCTCAGGAATATTCTGACTTCCCCAGAGCTTTATCTAGCTGGTGAACTCTGTTTCAGGTGTATCTTAACATTTTTGGTACAAAAAAAAGAAATTCCTGACCAAAAAAATCACTTAAAAAGTGGGAAATTATGCTTGCAGTGAGTATAGTTCAAAACAGCAAAGGAATTAATTTTTTTTATTTTTAAAGGTTCTCTGGAATGAGACCCCCAGGGTACTCTGTAACTCTATAAAACAGAGCCCTGGATTTTCCTAAAAAATCACTTTGAGACCCTAAAAAGAAATGTGAAGTATGCTCCTGCATCCTTTAAATGCTGGTTTATATACAGATACATTAATACTAATAAAGCAGAAGATAGACAGGAGGGAGCTTTCTCCCATAGGCTGTAGGCTTTAATATCCTTAGTTCTGTTGCTCATCACAGTAACTAGTCTGTAAGAAGCAAGCAGGACAAAATTACCTGTGATGAAAAGTTGTTCTTTATGAAAGCTCAGTGTGGGTTCCCATTATGATCTGGCTGAGCATGTCTCAGTTGCTGAAACGCTTTGCTTCAGCCATAGCAGTGTCAGTGGGATTTAGGCTCTAAGCCCATTGTGGGTGTGCCCCAGCACTTGATGGTTTATCTTTATTTGGGGCTGTGCAGCACGCAGGAGTGGAGCTCTGGCCAAGTCGTGCTGCCTTCAGCAAGGCCAAACATGCTGCAGTGCTCCTCTCAAGAGCCTGCAGCAGTGCCAGAGTGCATGTGCACTCACTACCTTTAATAGCAACAGGTGCAGAATGTTTTTAAAGTCACTTATGTGCTTGTTTTCTTTACTACTTTTAGTAACTTGTAAAATGTTTATGGCGAGTTATTTGAACAAACAATGTCATGGAGGATAACCTCTGTCTTGGCAGTGCTATTGGCTAGACACAAACATCTCATAAAAGAAATGGTTTTGAAGTTTTCTGCATGCTGGAGATGGCAAGGGTGTCCCTCTCCACCCCAAACTGCCTCTTCCACACTCTAGACACTGAGTTGCTTTAAAACCAGACAAATTCCAGTATGGAAGGTCCACTGAATGGGACCAGAGCTCTCTGATGCCATACTCTGATGGGCCCTGGCTGGGTGGCCCTTGCATTCCCCACTGTGCTGCTGCAAGGTGGAAAAGCAGGGCTTTCCCTGTCCTGCTCAGTGCTTCCACGTGACATAACGGCTCCAGGAGTGTAACTGAAACACAAACCACGGTCTTCCCTTTAAAAATGCTACTGGTTCTCCTTTCTGGCCAAAACAC